CTATATGAATTTCGTAAAAACGACTGTGTGAAATACTCTGTAAGTCAAGTAGGTCATATATGCCTTTCAGACAATCCCTTTCAAAAGTTGTTGGGACACATGCAGTTTTAAGACGTAAATCAATCTATACAGTTTGTTACACACAATACCGCACCCCTCCCCCTCCCCCCTCCCCAATCAATGTTGTTTTCTCGATTCGAATACCAATACTCATCAAACTTGACGAACAATGGCACACAACATTGAATAGGGGGCGGGGGGATCGACATTTGTTAAAATTAAAGGGTTTTAATGCATCTGTCCCAACACATTTGAAACTGATTGTACCTACCTACCTACCTACCTACCTACCTACCTACCTACCTACCTACCTACCTACCTACCTACCTACCTACCTACCTACCTACCTACCTACCTACCTACCTACCTACCAAAAATATGATCCACAAACTAGAATTACTCTCTGGCCACAAAGCAATGGATTTTGTATATAAACCTAAATGCATAGTTTTAAATGCCAGAATATTAGTAACACTTTAATATTTAATTTGATTTTAGAAACATTTGGTGATGGAGAATTATTTCATCCACCTTTGTGTCGCTGCAATTCTTGTAGTTAGCTTGCCTATACAAACGAAAACCTTAACTGCTGATGAAAAGTCAAATATTGAGAAAGGAATTGAGGCTGGGAAAACCATTGCGGAGGCCTTGAAAGATTCAGATTTTAGAAAGTCTTTGGTGAATCTTGGGAAAAATCTTGCCCCATTTCTTGGAGTCCTGGGCCCGTTAGCTGGTATAGCTTTATCATTTATCCCGGGGGGAGAGTCGGCGGAATTGGCGTTTATGAAAGAGCAATTCAAGGAAGTCAACGCAAAGTTGGATATCATCACAGCTGAATTCAAAGAAGTAAAGAACGCAGTTGTTTGGAGTAGTGTTCTCGCCAGGTTTGGACCGTACGAGGCCAAAATCAGAGCAGCATCAAGAAACCTCGATGAAATGTACCGTGCTGAGGAGTTAATAACTCGAAAGGCCCTGCGAAATGAATTTATCAGAAAATACCAGTATCACTTCGACGATAGCCTGGACAATTTATATGACGCCGTGATGTTAAACAAGAATATTCTTTCTCCAGACCTCTTGCAGTCGATCACAGAGAAGACAAAGAACCACAAGAGAAAATTTGAAAGCTTTTGTATGGGACTCACGCAAATTCTTATAGAAGGTATCAAGGTAAAGATTTCCTATTTTGCCATGCAGCACAACACCACTCATTATCTTAGCAAAAAATGGGCGAAAAAGATGAACGCATGGAAAGACAAAATCCAAAGTGAGAGCAGCAAGTTGAAAAATGAATATTGGAAGCAGTTAGTAACAGATGTAGAAGACATGTTTCTGCGTTATCGGAAAGTTGGCAACAAAAAACTTAACAATATATTGTATGATTTTGTCACGGATAAATATGATTGGTTTTATTGGTTCGTTGCTGTTTATAACGACATAAAGGGCTACCAGGTTCATACAATAATACCGGGCAAATTCGCGTTTTTGCATAGGCACGGAAAATGTTTTATTCTCGCGAATGTGGCGAAGGACAATATTCAGGCTAAGACATATGATTTGTACTCTAAGGCACTTCCATCCGCGCAAAAAGGAAGCAATGTATATAAGATATTGAAGGATTACGTTGAAGAACCCAAATTGTTGCTTGACCACCTGGTGAAGTCTCAATTTAAGTCTATTTTTTTTGATTTAAAAGAAATAGACGACATCCGCGAAGACGCTAAACGAATTGCCTTCTCGTTAAGAAAAATGTCCGGATCTAGGTTCTCGCTTTACTTCGTTGTTAAAGACAGCAAGGGTTTGTCAGTTAGATATTCCCCAGGACACTCGTCCAACGCCTCGTATATAGACAAACGAAGCATGATGCGAGGAAATCTATATATTTTTAAGTTATTTATCTTTTACTGACTACGTCAATCCCTACTATATAATTTTGCATGACTCTTTGAGCGCCGATGAATGAAATAACTACATACGGGTATATATACCCGCATTTTACATAGCTTGCCAATTGTGAAATGGGATTGAAATATAATAAACTATGGATACATTATTGTCTTGGAACTAATAAACTAAATTATACTTATTTACAAAATATACTTATTTACTTATTTATAAGATGTAATTATTTAATAGATGATGGACAGATTTTAAACTTGTTGATTCTCTTAGGGTTTTCAACACGTTTATTGGGATGTTGTTCCAATACGCTTCTCCTCTGTACGAAAAGCTATTTTTCAAGAAATTGTTTTTGGTTTAGGTTGAGACAGCTTTAAATTACTACTGCGCAGTATTTGTAACCACTGTTTTCACAAGTGTGAAATAGTTGTGTTACGTATTCTGGAAGCATGCCATTAATCGCTTTAAATGTCATAAAGAGATCTCGCTTTTTCAAAATTAAGTCAAGAGGTTTCCAGCTAAGTTTTTGAAAAGTGTCCGAAGATCTTATAGTATAGTCCGAATTTTTTATTATTCTTGCTGCTCGTTCTGAAGCTTATATAATTTGTCTAAGTGTGTTTGGTTGTTATTTTGCCCAACAGTTGAACAGTAGTTAAAATGAGGCATGACTAATGCGTTATACATAAATTTTACCGTATCTAGGCCAACAAAATCTTTGGCTTTTCTTAAAAGATTAATATTTTTTGATATCTTTTTGCATTGTTCTTCATTTTGCTTATCCAGCTAAGTCTATCTATCGTCTATAACTATACCCAAAACTTCTTTTTTATAAACTCGTTCAATTTGATGTCCGTTTATACTGATTTTTGGCACGTGATCTAAGTTTTTCAATCGTTGCCGAGATCCAATAATCATATATTTAGTTTTTTTGTTGTTTAATGTTAGTTTATTCGCTGATAACCATTTTTGACCATTTACTAGGTCTTTGTTAAATAAGTTTGTATTCAATATCTATGGATAAATGCCCTTGACATGATAAAATTGTGTCATCAGCAAATAAATTAGAGTGTGTTGAAGGCGCGGATCCAGACCGTGGCAAAAGTGGCTCGAGCCACGGTCAGATTTTTCCCACCTAGGATTTTTCGGGGTTCACCTTTGTTGGATACTGCATTAGACTGCATTGCGCATTTTTAAGAAGTATATATTAGTTATTTAAAATACAGCAAAATTGAGCAAATATAGGTCTATAGCAAACAATTTGAATAATATCTTTTGTAATTGTTCTCATATTACAGTAATATGTGCTAAAAGCAGGAAAAACTTCCGAAATATATTCCTTATTCAATAGTATAATTATCCAGTTAAACACTGAACTATAAAAACCGACGAAAACGTGCCGAATTGTGCCGAATATGTTCGGAAAACAGTCGTAAATTCGAAGCTGCGATCACACAGGGACCGCGGAGACGGGGGGGCTGGGGGGGGCTTTAGCCCCCCCACTTTTTTTGACAGCCAAAATTATTAAAATAGAAATCTAAATGAAACTTTCTAAATTAATTAATTGGGGGTTTTATTGATGATTTAGCCCCCCCACTCTCTAATACGCTCCGCGGGCCCTGTCACAGCCACAAAATGCCACGGTCAGCGTGCAAAAAATTGCGCAATTGTTACTAAATATAGTAACTTTCTGCCACGTTGCAGCGTTGCAAACCAATCACAGGGCCTGACTCTTCCACAGTCCCTCATTTGCACGCGCGGTCGCGTAATTTGAGCAGCGCTGATTTGAGGGACTGTGAAATCGTGACTCGAAAACTTGCAAAAACACTCGAAAACTTGCAAATGTGCTCGAAAACCTAAAAAATCGTCGAATAAGGAAGAAATCGTGGATGTTTTGGACGGTAGCGGTCCTTTGCTGTACATGGGAAGTGTTTTGTCTGAATCGTGCGAGGAATTGGAGATATTAATGGAATATTTATCTCTTGAAGACGATGATGGACTGATGGTGAGTGTTAAGTGGCAGTCCCGCTAAGAGCGGTCCGATGACTTTGACTTCGGAAAATAGATTTCCTTTATTTTTTGTGTGTTGAAAGGCATTGGTATACAAGTGTCCAAAATAAATTTATTTTTTGAAAATTCTTTTTTATGGCTTCGCTTGACGCCGAAACTCATTTTACCCGTGCAGAGCTAATTTCAAGCAAAATCGAAGGTTGAATTTCGGTAAATTGTAGAGCCGCGCTGTGTCAAAACGCCTGACTATTTCCAAATTTCAACTAGATCAACAAGTTAAGATACAATTCAGGTTCCCTGTTCCAAAAAATAAGAGCATTTGAATAAATTGTGAATAAACGACAGCGACTTGACGGCACACCGGTTTTTGCTTCTTGTTCGGTCTACAAAATTACACTAAAATCGAAGCTTGAGATCTCCAAATGGGGACCTAAAATTACGCTGAAATGTGCTTGGCTGTAATGATTTACACTTATTTTCAGAAGATCTGAAGAAAAACCTGCGGGTATCAATCTGTATTTGGCGCGAATTAAGATTTTCTGGAGCCCATAATCAATGATTTTTGCATAATTTATAGCTAATTAACATATTTCTTGAGAGGCGATAAAAGTAAACAATTTCTTTCTGACTAACATATCTCAGATGAAAGAGACTACCACAGCTAGTAATACCCTTTTTGTAAATATAGTCGCAATGTTCTTTTCCTGACACGCTGAGAGAGCTTTGTTTTTGAATGTTATGCCACATTTATTCAGTCTGACCAGATTCATAAATGTCACGAACTTGTATATTTCAAAAATATCAGTACCAGAAATCAGAATTCAGAAAGACCGATTATTCTTTCCTTGATTCAGTTGATGGATTTAGTTGATTGATTTAAAAAACTATAAGTATAATAGAACATTCCATGTGTTTCCATTGCCCCTATATAGGGCTAGAATTTTTATCAATATGTTCTACATGTATTTTTCTGTGGCGACGGCATATTAACAAAATACGACACAAAAATGTACATTCGAATTTATGACTGACATATATCAGAATGTTATTTATGAAGTTTGAATTGAATTTACTTAACGCGAAATAAATAGTAAAATAGGAATTTTCTATGCTGGGTTAGTAAAAGAAAAAGCATAATTTTAATTGTATGTAATTTCGATGAATATTATAAAAAAATTATACGCATTGTTTATATAAATTAGCTAACATTTACACATTTATTACGATAGTAGCGACGTTTGTTTTAGCCATGTAACAAAATAAACTATAAGCATTCTGATCAGTTACTTAACAAAAATATCAAACTTATTCTCAGCTATGGAGCTCACGAATATATTTTTTTTCAAAGAAAAATATTGAAATTCGATTATTTATAAAATTGATATTTTTGTTAAAAATGTTAGCTAATTTATATGAACAATGCGTATAATTTTTTTTATAGTATTCATCGAAATTACATACAATTAAAATTATGCTTTTTCTTTTACTAACCCAGCATAGAAAATTCCTATTTTAGTATTTATTTCGCGTTAAGTAAATTCAATTCAAACTTCATAAATAACATTCTGATATGTCGGTCATAAATTCGAATGTACATTTTTGTGTCGTATTTTGGAGTTTGGGTAATGGTTGAGTGTCGAGGGTCGAGGGTCATAGGTCGAGGGTCGTGGTTCGGAAGTCGAGGTCGAGGGTCAAAAGTCGAGGTCGAGGGTCAAAAGTCGAGGGTGGAAAGTCGAAAATACTAAATTTTTATCCATTTTAAAAGTTTTACAACCATTAAACGCGGCAAAACAATTAGTTTTGCTGTCAAAACTGAAAAATTTCGCCTATGGCTATGCCGTATGGCTATGTACTGTATAACTGAAAGTTTCGTTTGTGAACTGATGCGAGGTGATGTTTGAAAGCATACATATTTTATTTTACATTGGAGTTTAAAATATACAAGACATAGAAACACGGACGATTTATACAAAAATATGGCGTTTCACTCTCATGAGAAACTGATTATAGCCTATAGGTAATATGTTATCTCTTGGACTTGAACTTGGAGGCGAAAGAATAAGAGTTCTGAAATTCTCAGACCGCGTTATTCAAAAACCGCGTATGGTTTTGGAAGTTTAAAGCGTTAAGCCCAGGTCACACTACACAACGATAACGATACGATAACTTGTATACGCGAGCTGATTGGTCATAAATTTATCGTTATCGTCCGACTGAAAAAAAATCGCTCAGGTGAGCGATTTTAAAATCGTTATCGTTATCGTTCAACGATAATTTTATCATTTTCGTTGTTGTGTGGACACTAACACAATTTTTTTGACAATTATCGCGTGTTTACAATTTATCGTATCGTTATCGTTGTGTAGTGTGACCGGGCCTTTAGGGTGTGCGGGAAACAGTTGATATTTAGTATATTTTATAACATCGTGTTTACATGTCTGCACCGGAAGTGCACATGTTCGATTGACAGTTTCATATTCATAATATAGTTGTGAGAACGTTGTAATGTAATAAAATGGAAACGTTCTTTAGTTATTCTGTCAAAAATAACATGCACGAAGCACGAATCTTTATAACAGGGTGATTTTAGTTCGGTTCAGAATTATCTCATGACCATTGTGAGAGATTTTTGCTGCGCTGGGACCCGATTCGTTCTGATAGTACAATATTCAATAAATACAATATATTTTCAAATCACCCCCCCCCCCCGGCACCGTACGTTCTCGAATATTTTTAGTAATTTTACACTTTCTCGAAAAACAAAAGCCCTAAGGCATGTTCTGTACTAACAGTAATAAAGTTCGTTATCAGGAAAACCTTTAAAATTTTGACAACAAATGCCAAAAATGTAGTATTCTAGAAATGTTTAATAAAAAACTAATATTTCCCATTTTCGACCCTCGACTTCTGACCCTCGACCTCGACTTTCGAACCTCGACCTATGACCCTCGACCTATAACCCTCGACCCTCGACCTATGACCCTCGACCCTCGACACTCGAC